GAACTCACAGAGATCCGCCTGGCTCTGCCTCCCGAGTGCTGGGATTAAAGGCGTGCGCCACCACCGCCCGGCTGGGTCAGCTATATCTGACCTCACTGAAGAAATAATTTTTGACATAATTAAGTAGAAGAGAAAAGCTAAAAAGTGAAGAGGGTCCTTGGAGTGAAGAAAGAAAAAATTAAAAGAGACCAAGGGGAACAACCAAAAATCTTGTACCTGACTTTTTTTGTTTGTTCTGTTTTTTAATTAATTAATTTTTATTTCATGTCCATTGGTGTTGAGTCTCCTGGAACTGGAATTATAGACAGTTGTGAGCCATTATGTGGGTGCTGGGAATTGAACCCAGGTCCTCTGGAAGAGCAGTCAGTGCTCTTAACCACTGAACCACTCTCCAGTCCCCCCTTTATTTTGGTCTTTTGAAACTAAGAGTTTCTTTGTCTGCCCTGGAACTAGCTCTCTAGACCAGGCTGGCCTTGAACTCAAAGAGATCTGCCTGCTTCTGGCTCCTGAGTGCTGGGATTAAAGGCATTTGCCACCACTACTCAGCTGTTCCTGACTTTCTTAAGACAGATATGAGCACACATAGGGAATATTCAGTCCTTACATCTAGAAATGACTACAGCTTTATTAAAGGAAGGAAGCGTTAGCTGGAGACCTGACTTGGCACTTACTTGCTCTGGCTAGCCACTGTTTCTTGGGCCTCCTTCACAGCTGCTTCTAATTTTGCAATTCTGTCCTTATAAAAGGCAATGAGAAGATCGGTCTGTTTCTTCTGGAAACACCACACCTACTAGGAAAAAAGAGGTCTTTGGCATATACTTTTATTAACTCCTTCCTGTTACCTTTGACAACAAAGTTTAGAACTGCTCTTTTTTTCCTAGACCCTTTAGCATATCTTGTGACTCCCCAAAACTACAGAGTTCAACACTAGGGAGAGCCAAAGCTTTCCATTTTAGGACATTGGCTTTCTCCTATCGCTTATCTTAATAGCAATGTTCTAGCATTGTAGACATTTTATATATACATTCACTTATCTTGAGCAAAACAAACAAACAAACAAAAACCCAAAATATTACTGGGCAAAAGCATTTTGCAAAATGCTAATATTTCCAAAGTGGGAAATAATTAAATATGGCATACATAATAAAAACAAGTACTTTTCAAGCTCCTAATTGGTTCTAACTTACCTACTTACTTGGTTAATTTAGTTTCCACATTGTTAGCTACTACAATGTATTTTCCATAATACACTTAAGACCATGCTTGCTGTTTGTGCTGTTTTGGTAACAGGTGAAGATGTGACCAGGTATGATGCCACCCGCCCATCCCAGCACTCGGGAGGTGAGGTGGAGGCAGAAGGATGAGGAGTTGGAGGCCAGCCTTGGCTGGCTACATCATGAATTTGAAGCTGATCTGGGCTGTGACATCTTGTCTCAAGGAGGAAGGGCATAAAAGGTGAGTATTTATTTCTGAATTTTTAAAATTTTCTGGTTTATTTCTGGATATAAATACCTAACTATCTTTTGTGTTATTTTACCATTTGCTACACTAATGTACCTATCATAGGGTTGTTGAATCAGATAAAGAGTTAATATTTACAAAGTGTTTTAGCTGTGTCAGGCTTTATTTTGAACACACAGCAGAATTCTATGTCTCATCTGTTTTCCACTGTTCAGACTAGAAACCCTTTATCAAGGGCTTCCCAAGGCATTAATACTCTTCTCATAAACTTTTCCCTCATTTAATTTGTTGTTTATAAAACGTCAATTTCAGAAAAACTGAACAGAACAGAAGCAGAAAAAAATCACTTAGACTCTTAGGAGTTATCTGAATGGTGGAAGAAAGTGTTTGGAAGTAACAGTTACTATAAATAGATGTAATAAGGCACAATATCCCCAACATTCTAGTTCTAGCTGTGGGATCAACATGGGATGAAATTAGTTATGACAAGGCATTGAAAATCTTAGCTGAATTTGGTAGCTCATGCCTACACCTTTAGCTCTTGTGAGGCTAAGGTAGGAGTTGTAAGTCTGAGGCCAGCCTGAGCTTCATTGGTAGGCTGCAAAGCAAGGCCTGTGATAAAGAGGACAGGCAGACCAGACTGGTGAGATGGCTTCAGTGGGTGCTGTCAACCCTGGATGACTCACATGGTAGAAGGAAAAGAGACTCCTGCAAGTAGTCATCTGCCCTCCACACATGTGGTATGGCATGTCCATACCTTTGTGGACAGACAGACACAGACACAGACACACACCTTAGTTACGGTTCTATTGCTGTGAAAAGACACCATGACCAAGGCAACTCATAAAAGGTAGAATTGGGGCTTGTTTATAGTTTCAGAGGGTTAGTCCATGACCATCATGGCAGGGAGCATGGTGGCAAACAGGCAGGCATGGTGCTGGAGAAGTAGCGGAGTATTTACAACCTGGTTCACAGGCAGCAGGCACAGAGAGACAGACAGACAGACACTCGACTGGGCCTGGTGTGGGCTTTTGAGCCTCAAAGCCCACCCCTCCATAACACATCTCCTCCAACAAGGACACATAGACTTTAACATGGCCTCACCTCCTAATCAATCCAAGCAGCACACCAACTGAGGACTAAGTATACAAATATATGAGCTTATGGGGGCTATTCTCATTCAAACCACCACAATATTGCATTCACACAAAATTTTAAAATGTACAAAACTTTAGCTGGGTGATAATGGCACATGCCTTTAATCTCAACACTTGGAGGGCAGAGGCAGGTGGATCTGTGAGTTTAAGGCAAGCCTGGTCTACATAGCAACTTCCAGACCAACCAGAGTTACATAGTGAGATCCTGTCTTAAATTAAAAAAAAAAAATGTGTAAGCCGGGCAGTGGTGGCGCACACCTTTAATCCCAGCACTCGGGTGGCAGAGGCAGGCGGATCTCTGTGAGTTCAAGGTCAGTCTGGGCTACCAAGTGAGTTCCAGGAAAGGCGCAAAGATACATAGAGAAATCCTGTCTCGAAAAACCAAAAAAAAAAAAAAAAAAAAAGAAAAGAAAAAAAGATAAAAGCAGAAGGGGTCATGATAGAGAAAACTGGCATGTTTAGAGTTGGCTATTCTTCCTCTTTTCTTTTCCCTCTCCACCCTTCTCAGGTAGTCAGATAACTTAGTTTGGACTTGGTGGCATGGAACTTCTGCATGAATAAGTCTATTTGGTTTGGTCTGTTGGGCCTACTGTGACAGCTCAGTCTAACCTATCTAGTCTATCTATACATTTTATTTAACACACAGAACATAATTCCTTTTGTTTTGAGACTAGGTCTTATTACATATCCCTGGCTATCCTGGAACTTGTTATGCTAGGCTGGCCTTTAACCCACAGAGATCTACCTGTCTCTGCCTCCCCAGTGCTAGTATTAAAGGCGGGCACCACCACCACCACCACCACCACCACCACCACCACCTGACTTCAAGTTTCTTTCTTTCTTTCTTTCTTTCTTTCTTTCTTTCTTTCTTTCTTTCTTTCTTTCTTTCTTTCTTTCTTTCTTTCTTTCATGAGAATGAACATGGGATAACTGAGGAAATGTGAATATTGAGTAATTATTTGATAATTTGATAATTAAGTGATAAACATGAAAATATTTACATTTAACATGATAAAATGTCTGACTTGGGATCATCTGGTTGGGATAGTAGAAGATAAGGGAAGAATTTGGCCAAGAGTTTACAATTGTTGAAATATGATGATTAATACATGGAAATTCATTATATTATACATATCACTATATTTTCTGGGTTTTAATATATTTGAAGCTATCTATGACAACATTTTAAAGCTAGGCATGATCATGCACACTCATAATCTCAGGTATTCAGGAGGCTGAGGCAAGAGAATCACAAGTTTGAAGACTTGACGAGGTAACTTAATGAGATTTTTCATCAAATAACATTTAAAAGGCTGGGGATGTAGCTGAGAGGTAGAGATTGTTTGCCTACCTCTTGTGAAGCCCTGAATTCAATTACCAGTGGTAAAAAAAATAGTTTCAAAACTTAAAAAATCATTTCTGTTTATGTGTGTGTGTTTGTGGGTGGGGGGTTAGGGGTGCCCATGGAGGCCAGAAGAAGATCTAGAGTTACAGATGTTTATGGGCCTCCCAACATGGATGCTGGGAGGCAAACTCAGGTCTTCTGGAAGAGCAGAACTTGCTCTCTTAACCACTGAGCCACCTCTGCAGCCCTTCAAAACTACTGATTGATTGAGGGCTGTTGCACAGTATGTAGAAGTATGTATCTGTTGCACAGTATGTAGAAGTATGTATTTTGTCTTTGTCTCTGATTTGAATGAAACCTGACATGGTTTGGATCCTAAATGTACTTTAAAGGTTCTTATGTTGAAGACTTTGTCACCAGCCTGTGGCATAGTGGGAGATGGTAAAGTTTCAGGAAGTGAAGTCTACTGGAAAAAGTTATGTCACTGAAGGTAAACCCTTAAGGGAATATGGGGACCCTAATCCTACCTTCTTTTTTTTTTTTTAAGATTTATTTTTATCAGCCAGATTGATTTTATGTGAATGTGTTTCGTCTATGAACCATGTGCATTCAGTACCTGGGGAAACCAGACAGAAGAGGGTATCAGATCCCCTTGAACTAGAGTTACAGATGGCTGTGAGCCAGCATGCGGTACTAGGAATCAAACCCATGTCCTCTGGAAGAGCAGTCAGTGCTCTTAACCACTGAGCCATCTCTGTAGTCCCTACGATTCTTCTTAAGGATATTTATTAAATCCTTCTGTGTTGTTCATACTTTGTCAGGAGCTAATAAGTCACAAAATTAATAGCTCTGATAGTGTTATTGCCTTCAAGGGAAGATGGAGAAGAAAGCAAAAATTTATAATGCAATACAGTGTAGGTATAGTGTATATATTTATCCATGTATATGTTTAATGACAAGAATGTTCTAGATAGATGGAACTGCATATACAAAGGCCCAAAGGCAAAAATTATTTATACAAATAATTCGTAAGTCAGCAGTAGAGTACTTGTCAATAATACACCAAGCCCAGGATTTGATTCCCAGCACAATAAATAAATAAGCAAATACAATAACCATACTTCCATTTAGAAAGGTTCTTCTGGCTTCCATATGAAGAAAAGATAGAAACAGAAAGATACTGGAGGCTAGAAGTTATAGGCATTATCTATGGCACTGATAAAAAGCAAGGAAAGACAGCATTTGGAGAAATATAACTACTTAAGAGATGCACAGATTAAGATGAACCCCAAAACGGTACAGTAGAGTTGGTTAGGATAGCCAAAGAGCATTTTTAAGTAGAGAACTCAGACTTCAGATGTGGCTAAAAGATCAGTTAGAATAGAAATAAAAACTATCCACTGATTTTGATGAGAATGTTGATGCCCTTAGCAGAGACAGTTTTTAATGCAACAGTTAGAAACCAGACCACAGAAGGCTGTGAAAAGTTCAGAAGGTGAAATAGATGTGATAGACAAATATCCAGCAATGAGGTCCAATACAGTGTTAAGACTTGACTCCATGTACTCTGAGAGATGACAATAACAATAATCTTCTCATTGCTAAAGCCAGCCAGCCTCCATTTTCACTCACGACTTCATCTCTCAGCAGCTCAGCTGACTACATCTACCTTTGGAAACACTTTTTTTCTTGACTTGACTTCTGGGACACCACATATTTTTGTTTTACTTCTGACTGCAGTTTTCCTAATTTCTCTTCCTCCACCTAATTGCTAATATTGAAGGAACTCCTTTTACATGATCTTATCTATTTGCTCTGTGTGTT